AGTAGGGATGAGTTTAGGTGAGCTAGTCAATCATTGAGTGTCAATTTATATTTAACAATTCTCTGAAATAATGAAAATATGGCCTTGGGTTATGGTGGACTCAAAACAGTTGCAATTACCTAGTAGTTAACTGAAGTTATAATATCAGTATAAGTTGGCATTTATGCCAGGATGTGGATGTAGGTCTCATGCCAAAGAGTTGTCCAACATGCAATTGCCATTGGGTTCTGTACTCCATTACATAGAGCTCCATTTTCCCCTTCTTTAATGTTTCTTTTTCCCATCAGATACTATGCCATTGCAACACCAAGTGCCACACAAAGACTTCTTCTTGGACTTCTAGAGGCACCACCATCATGGGCCCCTGATGCTCTTGATGCAGCAGTTCAGCTTGTGGAACTCCTTCGTGCTGCTGAAGATTACGCATCTGGTATAAGGGTAAGTTAGACACCATTCTTGGCATTTATTTGAATATGCTGTGATATTTATGCTGATTATGAATCTCAGATTCTCAATTTGATGCTTACCTGTACTGGAACTTTGCTAAGCCACATAGGCAAGCTCATGTATGGCAGAACAAACATTTAATCAAAGCCAGTTATGCAGCGTCTGCAGTCTGCCAATCGGTAGAGTTAATCTAGGTTCTAGGCTTTATTTTTGGGATTTTGAGAGGGGAGTTGTGGAGCATAAAGTCTTCATGGAGATTGATGCTGAATGGCGTCTATATAAAATCCTAGCTTTTTAATGCACGCTAAACATCTTGAATTGCCAAAAATTGATAGTTGTAGAATTGGTGATGAAAGATTTCCAGAACTTGAGTATTAGCTAAAATTAAAATTTTTAGGAAGCTTTCTTCCATCCACCTATTGGGATAAAAAAGAAAAAAAAGAAGAAGAAAAATAATATATATATATATATATTAAATTGCCTACTCTGGCATGCGTAATTCTAGATGATGATAGAAAATAATGAATCTTATGTTTAAGAGTGATTGGAAAGGTGTTATGGGGTTGAGGTTTAAGAATGGAAAATATATAGTTAGAAAAATGTCATGGAAGAAACTGAGGTTATAGAATTTCAATTGATAGCTGATAAACTCTTGCAGTTTTGTTGTCAAGGATTACAGCAGGAAAGGTGATAGCTGTAGGTTTCTCTGGTTTAGGTTTAAATGGGAACACATTTTAGGGGAAAGATTGTGAGTCTAAAGGCTGGCCTTTTAGGACTTATTTCTGGGTTTTAAAAGCAGCACACAAAAGGGTGTATTTTGTGGTTGTTGAATGGAGAAAAATAGTGCCTTCTACTTGCATATTTATCTCCTGTGCCTGCTGAATGCAACAAACCATGTATTACACCATAAGTCTATAATCAACATAACCTGATGACTTAAGATTGTCATTACCATTCCATATGATGGAGACTAATCTGCACGTAGATATATAAAAAAAATTTTGTATAGAATTTATACAGTAGGAAGACCTTGTTTATATAGAAGCACCATACTTTAACACCAATTGTTTGCTTGAGTGAATAGATAAATTAGTTCTCAGTTAATCAAATAATCTATCTGGTATAGCTCTTCCATTTGTCTTAGAAAATTGTTCTGTGCTATGTAGCTTCCTAGGAACTGGATGCATTTGCATTTTTTGCGTGCAATTGGGACTGCAATGTCTATGAGAGTAGGCATAGCTGCTGATGCTGCTGCAGCATTACTCTTTCGCATACTCTCACAGCCTGCATTGCTTTTTCCTCCATTGAGGCAAGTTGAGGGAGTGGAAGTTCAGCATGAACCTTCAGGCTCTTATGATTCATGCTACATGAAGCAGGTAAAGTTATCCACTTTGAATTTTTGCATATTATTTTCTCATGCTTCTGCCTTCTGGTTTTATGTTTCATCATTTGCTAAGTAGCACTTCACATGCAGTACCACTTTGAATCTACACGCACTCACAGATCCACTTTCAACATTGTCTTAAAATCACTTTGACCAGATAGAAGTACCTGCCGCTGAAGCAACCATTGAAGCCACTGCCCAAGGAATTGCATCCATGCTTTGTGCCCATGGACCTGAGGTGGAATGGAGAATTTGTACCATATGGGAAGCTGCTTATGGACTAATTCCCTTAAGCTCCTCAGCAGTTGATCTTCCTGAAATCGTTGTTGCATCCCCATTGCAACCTCCAATACTATCATGGAATCTCTACATACCACTCCTTAAGGTCCTGGAATACCTTCCCCGTGGAAGTCCATCTGAAGCTTGTCTGATGAAGATATTTGTGGCTACTGTTGAAGCAATTCTCCAGAGAACTTTTCCATCTGAGTCCTCAAGGGAGCTAACCAGGAAAGCAAGATACAGCACAGGTTCTGCCTCTAAGAACCTTGCCATTGCAGAGCTTCGCACTATGGTCCATTCCCTCTTTCTAGAATCATGTGCTTCCATAGAGCTTGCTTCACGCCTACTATTTGTTGTCTTAACTGTGTGTGTTAGCCATGAAGCTCAGTCCAATGGGAGTAAAAGACCAATAGTTGAAGAAAGTTATCCTCCTGAGGAAAGCATTGAAGAGTCCCAGGTACCACCTGAAAGGTATAAAGAAATTAATGCTAGAAAGAGGAAAAAACAAGGGCCTGTAGCTGCATTTGATTCTTATGTTCTGGCTGCTGTTTGTGCTCTTGCATGTGAGCTTCAGTTGTTCCCTATCATCTCAAGGGGGAGTAATCATTCAGCTTCCAAAGATGGTCGAGCTGTAGCCAAGCCTGCAAAAATAAATGGATCTTGTAATGACTTTGGACATAGTATTGACTCAGCTATTCATCATACTCATAGAATCTTAGCTATATTGGAGGCACTTTTTTCTTTGAAGCCATCTTCCATTGGTACCTCATGGAGTTACAGTTCAAATGAAATAGTTGCTGCAGCTATGGTTGCTGCTCATGTGTCTGAACTATTTAGACGGTCTAAGGCTTGCATGCATGCTCTCTCTGTCTTAATGCGGTGCAAGTGGGACAATGAAATTCACAAGAGGGCATCGTCACTATATAATCTCATTGACATTCACAGCAAGGCTGTTGCATCCATAGTTGACAAAGCAGAACCATTAGAAGCATACTTAATGCATGCACCTGTTTTGAAAGATTCCCGTTTTGGTTTAAATGGCAAAAAGCAGAAAAATTGTTCAAGTACCTCTTGCTTTGATCCAGGGCAACCATCTACTTCAGAATATGCAGAATCATCCCATTCAGAAAACAATCTCAGATGTGAGAGAGCATTACATTCAGATGAGGGTTCTGGAAATGCCTTGGGTAAAGGTATTGCAAGCCTCCCATTAGATGCTTCAGATTTAGCCAATTTCCTCACCATGGACAGGCACATAGGATTCAATTGCAGTGCACAAGTTCTTCTAAGATCAGTGCTTGCAGAGAAACAAGAATTATGCTTCTCTGTTGTTTCACTATTATGGCACAAGCTGATAGCAGCTCCCGAAACACAACCCAGTGCAGAGAGCACATCTGCCCAACAAGGATGGAGACAGGTAACCTAGCATGTCTCAAGCTACTTGCAATGTGCGTTTCAATGATTTGTTTCATATTGGTAGCACTTCATAAAAATAAATTTACCTAAACTTTTCTTTCATCATAGGAAACTAAATTTTTAACTTATATCTTAAGGAAATAGCAAAAGAGGGGCAAAACCCCCAAATCCACCCCTCAAATAAGGGGGAAAGGACAAATCCACTCCTCAAAAAATGCAGGGACAAATTGTCCCTCTAAAATATAAATCAAAGACAAATCACCCATTTTTTAGCGTGTGATGTCAACTTTCTGTTAAAAAATACTTACGTGGCAAACAGAATCTGTTAAAAAATGGGTGATTTGTCTTGATTTATAATTTAGAGGATCTATTTGTCCCTGCATTTTTTTTAGGGGTGGATCTGTCCTTGCCACCCTATTTGAGGGGTGGATTTGAGGGTTTTGCCAAAGAGAGATTCTCTTGTTGTCCAAAAATTATCTCGTCTTTTTTACATTTTACATTAATGCTTATGTAGAGATCCAAATTGTTTTCTTAAATTTGTGAAATAATGACAAGCTAATAGAAAATTTTCTAGCATCACCCGAAAAGAGTAAAGGTGTGTCCAAATTTCTGTTAACATGTGGAGGGCCTGTGGTACTGACATGATATACTAGTTTTCATATATTATAGAGAAAATTTGACTAACATGTGGACTGTAATCACTGGATCCATTAAGCATTGTGAAACATAGTTGATGCAAAAGATGGAATTATATTACTGCAGGCGGTCCAATCCATTCTTTTGTTTGTCCAGGGCTATGCCATCTGTATCTTTATTGATATTTTCCATTGAAATCTAATTTTTTGACCTTCTTATTTGGGTGAAATAGGTGGTTGATGCACTATGCAATGTTGTATCAGCATCACCAACAAAAGCAGCTGCAGCAGTTGTTCTTCAGGTCCAAATTTTGTTCATCTTGTAAATAAATTGTTCTGTTTTCTTTATGGTTGCTAACCTGAAACAATAAGGTTATGCTAAAAGGCAATGCAAATCTTATGAGTAGGGTATTATTAAAGCATATGGCCTGATTAAATATTTAACTGCTGTTTCATTGCCTTTACTGCTTGAGATGTCATCTAAGTATTGTTAAAATCAGCAGCCTTGTTTTCTTGTTTGTTTCAATTTTGGATACTTCGTTTTGTTATTCACTTTCATGGCCTTGTATTCTTGTCAGGCGGAGAGGGAATTGCAGCCATGGATCACAAAAGATGATGACCAAGGTCAGAAGATGTGGAGGATCAACCAGCGGATTGTAAAATTGATTGTGGAGCTAATGAGAAATCATGATAGCCCAAAATCATTGGTAATTGTGGCAAGTGCATCAGATTTACTCTTACGTGCAACAGATGGGGTGCTTGTTGATGGAGAAGCTTGTACTTTACCACAGTTGGAGGTAATAGCTAGAAAATTTTGTCTCTGCAGTCACTCACATGATAATTCAATTCTTGGAGTATGCCATCAATCATTATGTACTTTTTCAAATATAACTAGTTATTTATCATATCAAGATGGTTGAAGGCTTTGGAGCTATTAAATATTAAATTTCATATCTAACTTGTATGGTTGGTTTCTTCTTTGCAAGCAGCTACTGGAAGCGACAGCAAGAGCAGTTCATCCTGTGCTGGAGTGGGGAGAATCTGGACTGGCAGTGGCAGATGGTCTTTCAAACCTGTTAAAGGTGAGCCAACAATCTCCATTGGCATACCAAATTGTGTTCTATTATTATGGACATGCTTCAAAGTTCAGCATTGGAAATGCTGGTGCCTAAATATGGCACTTCACAATTTTTCAACCTAGATAGCTTGTTTGGTTTGAGGGAAAGGAGAGGAGGGGAAGGGAGGTGGCCTTATTTCAGCCAGTTAAATTATGTCGCTGGGCCAACAAAAATAATTTGATTGGTTGTAATAATTTTCTCTCCCCTCCCTTTCCCTCAATTTAAACACGCTGAGGGCAAATAGACAACTGGGAAAGAACACCAAATATAATCTGGTTATGTTTTTCAATCTTTTTGCCATGCTTGTGCAATATCTTCATCACGTGGTTTTTAATGGATGGATTCATGCAGTGTCGTCTACCAGCCACCATCCGATGTCTTTCTCATCCAAGTGCCCATGTTCGAGCTCTCAGCGTATCAGTTCTTCGCGATATTCTGCACACAGGATCAACTATGTCTAATTCCAAACCAGTAGAAAGAAATGGCATCCACGGTCCGTCCTATGGTCAATACTTCAGTATAGACGTCATTGACTGGCAAGCTGATATCGAGAAGTGCTTAACATGGGAAGCTCGTAGCCTACTCGGAAGAGGAATGCCAATTAACTTTCTCCAGGTGGCTGCCAAAGAATTAGGCTGTACTATTTCCTTTTAATGTCAATTTAACTTGAGGATTCGTCCCATGTGAGACCTGCTAATAGGAATAGACCTATCAATCTGCTTAAAGGATATGGTTTGGCCGATGAGGTATCTATTCATTAGCCTTTGAATGTTATGAGCTTTTTTAGTGTATAGTAAAAAATGTAAAACCGGGCTCGTATGAGCTCATGTGTTGTGTTTGATATCATTCGATTTTTAGCTGGATTTGTATCATTTGTATGATATAGAGGCACGGGTTCCATTTTGCTGGTCAGATTAACTCTGGCGATTGGATTTGCAAGAAGCCAGCTGCTTGGATACTTGATTCGTTTAGGCACTTCATTGCATTTGGTGTTCTTCACGTCTCCTGGTTTTATGTATGTATTGGCATCATTCTTCATTGAAAGGGTCTGGGTTGAATTTTTCTTCTTCCTCTTCTCCTTTTTTTTTTTTTTTTTTCTTGCTTTATTTGTTACAAGGGGTGCCGAATTCAGAGTGGGAGGGGGAGACGGAGTCGAACTCTCATCCTGAAGTAGCCAAGTGGATGCTCAAGTGGCTATTGACCGTTGAGTTACTACCAGTGGTCGGGTTTGGGTTGAATTATTCCTCTTGAAGGTGTTGAAGTGTGGCAGGTTTCAAACGGTAGAACTCGAATGTGATTTTCATGAACTGTTTTGAGGCCTTACGAGCACCAATTAAATGTTCCGAGGAGAGAAGTTGGTACAAAATAGAAGAGAAAATCACATATTAAACCATTTTTCATCTCTCTTTATAAGACGACAGTAGTGACTCATTTGGTTCATGCCATGAAATGGGATGGCAATGAAAAAACATCTCTGCTGGTTAGGTTGATTGTTTCCCTCATGTTTGTCAAGCTCCGAATCCTTGCTATTGACTAGTTAAGAGTTGTCGAGGTTTAATGTTCTTATAAAAGGCTTTAAAGCCATAATTTGAATACATTCTTGCTGAGAGTGAGATTAAATGCATAGTCAAACAAAAGCAAGCAAAGTCATTCCCATCTATAATCCAATCGCAAACAAGTAATTCGTCCTTGGAAATTCATGATAATTAAACTACAATGTATTCATAATATTACATAATATGATATGAAATCAAAAAAATGATACATATAAATTCACACATCTTATTAAATAAGAAAAATCAATCAACCAACCAACTATTCATGGTGTTACTAAAATTAAACTACTCATTTGATGTTACATTACATTGTATTAATCTACAAAATACTGTTTTTGGAAAAGTAACCCAATACCAGGCCAATGCATTGACAGGCTGCAGACTTGGAAAAGGCCCACTAATGGAGGTCCGCCAAAAAGAGGTTCACCACACATACACAAGTGGATCAAGAAAAATGAGACACATGTCAAGGTTGTTATCATTATCAATGAGGTTATGATTTATAAATACTTCCAACCTACCGCTCTCAAGATAAATGCTGAGAGTCTGTTTTTATATTTTCCAGTTGAGAGCGCCTCTTCATAAAAGTTACAAATTATTACTGATTTGATTGATAAAGTGTTTACTCGATGACACTTCTTTAGGTTTTTTAAGTAATCAAATCAAAGTATATCTAGATTCAGATTGTAATTTAACTTGGATATTTATTGTTTTAACAACTACAAGAAAAACTATCGTAACTAAAGGGATTGTAGTAATATGCTCGAGATCAATGACTTTAGACATGTAAGAGGGAATCTCTGAGTCCTTCCTCGTTCCGAGATCAACTATTGATAGCAAGCAGGGCTCACCAAAAGACAATACTAGATGATTTGCACTCTGGAGATGTCCACTCTAGTAATCACATCATGCTACAATTATTCCTTTTCAAGGACTGCATGAACATCATTATTAGGCCTATAAATGCCAATGAAGACCTTTTTAAAGGTATTAAACTGAGACTAAATACCTTAATTTAATTAATCTTAAGTTAAAAATAAATTATTACTAACCTAATACTTACTAGGAAATTCAATCTCAAGGTTTTGCAAGTCGTTCATGTAGTTGATCTTGAACTAGGGAAAGTTGGATTACTTTGTGCAATCATAAGGACGAGTGGATGACATAAAAAAATCAAAATGTTTGGATAATTAAAATTTTTGAAGTGATAATGAAAAAATTTAAACATCTTTAATAAATTAACACACTTAAAATTTTTATTAAAAATATTTTAAAATTCTATTATTTAAAATAATACAATGTTTTAATTTTCACTCTTGCCCTAATTAAATCATGAAAATAATGCCAATCAGTTTTACCTCCTAAATATTATAAGGAAAATCATCTCAAAATTACGGTATTTCAATAATTTTTTATTAAAAAGACTAAACTACAATATTTTTAAAGTATGCATTAAGGTACTTCTTTATTTTTAAAATATGCATTAAGGTAACTTTTATCTTTTTTTCTCTTAATTTTTTAGAGGTAAAACAGACAAGTATTAATCCCTTAAATCATTTTTGTTACTTATATATTCTACGACTACGCAATTATTCTTTTAAATAGAGAGAGTTGCTATTTGCTATTGCTTTTTGGTACTAATTTCTCATATCTAGTAATTATATTAAATCTGATTAATTTAAAATAAAAATACATCAAATCATATTAAGGGAAAGCTTTTTCAACATTTATTTCTCTATTTATAAGACTCAAATTCAAAATTTTATTTTAAAAAAATCAAATTTTTTATACTCAAACCAAAAGAAAAATATTATTATATACTATTGTTAGAAGTAACAGACTGATCTGTATTAGGAGGGTAGAATCGTCTTTCAACGAGAACCGCACAAAACCCTAAATTAGGCGAAGCGGGGTCGCAAATATAAACTGCTCTAAAAGTCCTAGCTTTTTCTTCGTTGGCTATCCTAGCTTTTTCCCGCCGTGCCTCTCGTCTTCCCCGAGCAAATTTCTGAATCCACAATGGTAATTAGCCTTACTATATCTTCTTTAAATCTCCATTATATGCCCATATTCACTCAAAGTCTATGAACTCTGTATTTGTATTTTAGCTACTTGTCTTGCTCGATCTACTATCTGGGACTCGATCTCTGTCCGAATTTATGTTCTGAGCTGATTTTTTTTTTTTTTTTTTT